AAAAAAAAAAAAAAAAAAAAAAAAAAAACCTAATATATTTAAACCATAAATAAAATTCCTAGAGTAGTTTCTTGGAGGAAATAGGTGCTGTACTCATAAAATCAAGCCTACAGAGAAAGCTCCTTTACCCATTAAACGCCTTTTGGGAGCAGTTCACTAGTAAACCTCAGACCAGGGCAGAGAGGCATTTAAATCCAGTAATCGCTATCCAAAGCAGTGGACTTTGTGCTCCAATAAAAGCTAGTGTCCTGGTTCAGCTGCTGGGATCTTCAGATCTCACATCCTGCTCTAATGCAATCAGCCTGCAGAGAGCTAATTACCTAATCGAGGAGCCACAATTTCACTGATGCCTCACTTCCTCCAGTGGCAATAAACACCAGTGAGCCAAGACGGCACCTCGTTAGTCGGCTGTGTTAGTGTTTACAGGGCAATTCCAGCCACTGATGAGGCCTTCCTCACTTACAGTTCATTTCAAAGAGCGCTTTCCTTCCCTACAGAAGTCCCTCTTCTCAAGTTGCAGAATGGCATTTTATAAGAAAAGAGAATTCTGCAGAGTGATACGAATCGACACAGCACCTGAGACTAACAGACAGCACCTTTCTGCAGTCACCTGTGCCCCATCAGTCCCTCGGGTCCCACGGGAACTGCTACATGTATTTTGCACTCCATCCAATTAAATCGTTTTCTATTTAATTCCCAAGAAACCACTAATGTATTATGCAAAATGGAGGGAAAGAAAATAGTTTGAGATCACTGTCACAGTTACCTAAGATCAAATTAGCCACCTTTTAAACATGTATGTTTTGTTTTGTTCCAACCAAAAGTTTCTTTCAAATTTTTGAAGACCAAAAATTTACTTATAAGAATAAATTGTCAAGACAATCCAATAAGAAGTACTATGGAATAAAAACTAAAAAATATGTAATTAAGTGCTGTCTCTAATGCAGGTGTGAGTCCAACCTTTAGGTGACTACACTCTCCACTTGTAATTTATATACAACAAACAGAACCAATTATTGATTGCTGACATATTAGATACAAAGTACTTCAGAGCCTAGAGGGCCAGAAAAAGGACTCAAAACAGATACTGTTAGCCAAAGAAAAAATAAACTTTCATTCTCCTATTGAAATGCTTGACATAATACTCATATTCATGTTCTATCAGAAAATAGAGATATAAACAGGTCCAATACAGAGACACAGAGGCAAGCACGTGTCACTGGGGCACTAATCACCCCCGGGGACACTTGCCTGACTTTGGCACCATCCATGCGACTGCCTGCACCATGAGCGGTGACAGATGGAGGCCATCACCGGTAAAGATACGTCCTCGCTGGCGGAATCCCTCCACACCAGTCAACAGGGTATTGGCTGCTGTTTTGTAGCCAACTTTCAGACATTCCTCTGTTATGTATGGTATTGTATAGTCTACCATCCTCTCTAAAACCACAGCAAAAAACTAAGCCTAAGTTAATGCTCTAATGTAATACTTGCCTCCTCTCTACAAACATAGCAAAACCATCGTTTTTTTTTCCAAGTGAAAACACCAAGATGTGCATTATCAAATAATCATCCACATTGCAATGATCTCAATCAACTACTCCGTCACTTACGCACCTGCTAAGGTAATGTGACTCATCGCGGAAAAGTCACCACAGGCATCCGTTCTGGTCAGAAACGTGAATACTCAGTTCTGCACTGATAATGAAGTATTTAGTATTTATATCTCAAAAAGTCATTTCTTATATTTTGGAGTGAGTTATACTAAGATAGCATAATAGTGAAACTATATTCACCTAATGGCATTTCATCTTAAATTATTTAAGAGAACACAGTTTAAGCAAAATAAATGGATAAAGAATTAAAAAAAAAAAATCAAAGATATACATAATAAATCTAAAATTTGCATCTCAAATTTCTCCAGATCGTATCCACTGAATAAAACTAAAATAAGCATACAGATCACTCATTGCGGTTATAACCCAAAGATATATACTATATGATATGAATATGAATATATATAACATATAATATATATGACATGGGTATTGCTGACTATACTGTTTGGAAAGTGGATGAACATATTTATGCAATTTATCTACCAAATAAACACTCTTTTAGAGATAAAATAATAAATTCCATGTTAAAATGTGAATCTTAAAGATACATGTAACATACAAGTTGTTGTAGAATAAGAAGTACACTAGTACTCTATCTTTGTAGTGTACAATTAAAATAAAGTATATATAAATGATAAGTGAATAGATTACAGCAGAAACAAAGGACAAAAGAGTTTATAAAGGATGAATTGATCCTGGAAAATCTCGTATAAATTAGGCTCTATATAATTTAGTATTATAGGACAGAAACAATATACAAACACAGACATAAAAGACCCAGCCCAGAAATAAAGAATGATTTGCAGGTCAAATGGGTCATAGTTCTCATTTCAAACATGGACAAAAAAAGAAGGATACTCAAACACAGGAAAGAAAAAAGAAAAATGAAAACACAGGTTATAAACACACTTGAATCCTACGCATTAAAAAAGAAGAAAATAGAGTGACATTTTCACAGATGAAATAATAAAAACAAAATAAATCAATCCCGTTTTTTAAATGTTAAAAGTATAACTACAGCAAGAGAACTACGAGTTCTTTTCGTTTCACGAGTCTTCATAATCTGTTTCATCATGTCTATACTTACACATCGAGGAGGGACTTTCTGTCATCTCCTCTAGCTAACACTCATGCCTCATCGTCACATGGGTATGGAAATATACTGTATATAAAAAATTTCTTAATACACAGATTCTCTGAATAGTATTAAAGTATCAAAAAATTGGTCTCAAGGATGGGTCAGTGGCTCATGCTTGAAACCCTAGCACTCTGAGAGCTGAGGCAGAGGACTATATTGAGCTCAGGAGTTTGAGACCAGCCTGAGCAAGACAGGATCCTGTCCTTCTAACTAAACATAGAAAAATTAGCCAGGCATTGTGGAATGCAGCTGTAGTCCAGCTACTCAGGAGCTGAGGCAGAGGATCACTTAAGCCCAGGAATTTGAGGTTGCATGAGCTTGGTGATGCCATACAGTCCATCCGGGGCAACAGAGAGATACTTTGTCTCTCAAAGAAGAAAAAAAAAAAATTGGATTCCATAGGCCAGGCATGTAATCCTGGCTCATGCTGTAATCCCAGCACTTTGGGAGGCCAATGCAGGAAGATGGCTTGAGGCCAGAAGTTTGAAACCAGCCTAACAAAAGCAATACTCCATCTCTACAAAAAATTTAAAAATTAGCTGGCATGGGTTCAACCTTTAGTCCTGCTATTCAGGAGCTGAGCAGGAGATCACTTGAGCCAGGAGCATGAGCCTGCAGTGAGCTAGATTGCACAACTGCACTCCAGCCTGGTGACACAGTAAGATTCTATCTCTTTTAAACGAGAAAAAAAAGCCAGGCCGCGTGCTCACGCTGTAATCTAGCACTCTGGGAGCTGAGGCGGGCGATTGCTCGAGGTCAGGTTCCAAACCAGCCTGAGCAAGAGTGAGACCCCGTCTCTACTATAAATACAAAGAAATAATTGGTCAATAAATACTATAGGAAAAAAATATAGCCGGCACGGTGGTGCATGCTTAGTCCCAGCTACTCGAGGCTGAGGCAGGAGGATTGCTGAGCCAGGAGTTTGAGGTTGCTGTGAGTAGTGATGCCATGCACTCACTTACCTGGGCAACAAAGAGCTTTGTCTCCAAAAAAAAAAAAGAAAAAAAAAGGAAAAAGAAAAGAAATAAATTACTTTCTTCTAGAAACAAAAACTTATTACAGACTCCATGCTTTTTTGACATACAAACAATATTCATACTGTTTGGTGTATGTTTTGAATTTTAGCAGATATAACAGTTTCAGCATTCATAAAAATTCAGTTATACCCTCTGTAATCAACCCTTCTCCCTAGCATAAACCTTGCAATATGTTTGCCTTTTCCTATTGTTGTAATTGTTTTCATTTTATGCTAATAAAGGTGTTTGTATCCAGAAGTATATAACTAAACCCCTTTCACTAAACATACTATGAAAATTACTTATTATAGATATTAATTAGATTTAGTATTAATCAATATGAAATTCCTTAACATAACAATATTGGAGAACCTATTATAGCTACACCTCAAGCCATTTCCAGTGTTTAACTAAGAGGGGGAAAAAAAATCAGTAATTTAAGTATATGCATACTTAAGTATCTATTACTTAATTTTATACTTTTATGTATACATATTATGTATAATAAATACATAATTTAATTTAATACATACTTATGTATTAAATTATGTATACATAAGTATGTATACATACTTAATTTTGTAAAACACACAAATTAAGTATGCATATATAAAATTTTAAAGCTTTTTATTCCTTGAAAATACATCACAAACTCTTTTTTTTTTTTTTGAGAGAGAGTCTCGCTTGTGCCAGCTAAGTGAGTGCCATGGCGTCAGCCTAACTCATAGCAACCTCAAACTCCTGGGCTCAAGCAATCCTGCTGCCTCAGTCTCCCGAGTAGCTGGGACTACAGGCATGCACCACCATGCCCGGCTAATTTTTTCTATATCTATTAGTTGGCCAATTAATTTCTATTTATAGTAGAGACGGCGTCTTGCTCTTGCTCAGGCTGGTTTCGAACTCCTGACTTTGAGCAATCCACCCGCCTCGGCCTCCTAGAGTGCTAGGATTACAGGTGTGAGCCACCGCGCCCACCACCATCGCAAACTCTTAATAGTAAGAAAGAAAAGGGAGAAGGGGAACTTTACGATAACAGGCCAGGCACAGTGGCTCACATCTGTAATCCTAGCACTTTTGGAGGCTGAGGCAGAGGACTGCTGGAGGTCAAGAGTTCAAGATCAGCCTGAGTAAGAGGGAGACCCCATCTCTACAAAAACTACATTTAGCCAGGCAAGGTAGTATGCACCTGTAGTCCCAGCTACTCGGGAGGCTCAGGCAGGACGATCGCTTGAGCCCAGGAGTTTGAGCCTGCAGCGAGCTATGATTGTACCAGTGCACTCTAGCCCACACAACAAAGCAAGACTTTCTCTCAAAAAAAAAAAAAAAAAAAAATATGTGACAGTGTACTTAAAAATAATTTAAAAGTTAATTATAACATTTATCCTCTATAAAATTAGCAAAAATTAACAGAAGACATTACTCTGTGTCAGTGTTCACAAGATAGGGTAAGAAGGAACTTGCCGGGCGCGGTGGCTCACGCCTGTAATCCTAGCTCTCTGGGAGGCCGAGGCGGGTGGATTGCTCAAGGTCAGGAGTTGGAAACCAGCCTGAGCAAGAGCAAGACCCCGTCTCTACTATAAATAGAAAGAAATTAATTGGCCAATATATAAAATTAGCCGGGCATGGTGGCGCATGCCTGTAGTCCCAGCTACTTGGGAGGCTGAGGCAGAAGGATTACTTGAGCCCAGGAGTTTGAGGTTGCTGTGAGCTAGGCTGACGTCACGGCACTCAGTATAGCCTGGGCAACAAGCGAGACTCTGTCTCAAAAAAAAAAAAAAAAAAAGAAGGAACTTAACCCTGTGACTTAATAATTTCACATCTAGGAAATACTTCCCGAGTAACAAATTATGACCCAGTTTTGCAAAGAAACGAACACAAAACTGCATCTCCGTACGTATTCCATAGGTGAACAGACGGAGGTTGGAAGGTGTATCCACAATCACTAGGAAGAGCATGGCGGCCAAGGCGAATGCTCTACACGATGGGCTGAGGGCCTTATGCATGTAGTTAAAGACAAGGGTGGGCAGAGAGCCAGACCAGCCTTCCCAGCAGACGGAGCTGCCTGGAGAGCAGCCTCAGGGACAGGGCACGCAGGGCTTACGGGGCTCGTGGGCTTGTCGGCTTCCTCACTCTCCTCCTCAGAGTCGCTGCCGGAGTCTTGACAGCTGGCGCTGGCGGGCGAGACTGGCAGCTGAGGAAGGAAGGTCTGGAGCACTCGCAAATACACCAGCAGGCCTTCCTCAGAGAGCGACCCTGGGTACAACAATAGTTATAACATATTTTAGCTGAAATGGAAAACTTGGGTATCATGTTTTCCTCATACTCAACAAGGCCCTTCTGACCAGAACTTACTGTAGTATAGTATGAAATGTACTTGGCCCTGTTTATGCCACAGAGCATTTTTAGAATTTCTTGGAATTTCCTAAAAGAAAGCAGTGCCTTTTGTTACTCCCAACCCGCTGGCTTTGATCATATCTGAGGGTCTGCTCCAGTGGTGACTTAGGTGAGGCCCCCTGGATGGCCTCAGGATGGGGCTGGTTGCCAGAAAGACCAAGGGATGAGAGGATTGGAACTTTCAGCCCCACTCACCAAGCTCCCAGGACAGGGGCAGAGGGGACTAAGCTCTGTAAAACTCTTGGACAACAAGACTCAACCAGTTTGGGGGTGCTGGGAAGGTGGTGTACCCAGAGGGCACAAAGCTCCACCCAGCCCCTTGCCCTATGCATTTCGTCATCTCGCTGTTCACCTGTTCCTTATAAGATCCTTTATAATAAACTGGCAAATACAAGTAAAGTGCTTCCCTAAGTTCTGTGAGCTGCCACAGTCAATTATCCAACCCAAGCAGAGGTTGCAGAACCTCGATTTTTGCTAGTTGGTCAGAAATGCATGTGCTAGCCTACTGCTAATACTTTTGACTGGCCATGTGACCCCGTGTCCAGGTGGACAGCACCGGAACTAACTTGAATTAGAAGATACCTAGTTGGTATCCACTGGCAAATGTTCACTGTGTGGAGAGAAACCCCCACATCTCTGGTCACAGAAGTATGCCATGTTGAATGTGAGAGTAAGAAAAGGTTTGTTTTTTCTTGTATCTCTTTATCCTAATAATTCACGTCCATATGTTGTATTACAATACACGAGAGGAAGATGCTATCATTTAGAACAGGCACACTGGAAGGCAACACAAGTGGGTGGGCAGAAACTCTCACAGAAGAGCCCTCCCATTTAACCTGTTGTGATCTGTGTGGCCTTTTAAACATGTATCTAACACAGGCTTTTCACTGCACCTGGAAACCTTCTTCAGGGACACTGCCCAGAGCACAGTCCTTCAGCAAATACCCTCTTCCGAGGGGATGCCCACCCTAGAGACCATCTTTATGTGACACGCACGCCTGTGCCAACTTCTGACTGATCTGCTAATGCGAGCTACACGAGTTCAGGTAAAACGTGTTTTGTATTTCATACCCAAATAATTTTCACCAACAGTTAAAACAAAATAGAAAAGCCACGGTGCTCCACCGCTCTTCTCTGAGCACCTCCTCTCTGCCAACAGCAGTGCGCGCAGGAAGGGCTCGTAAGGGAAGGCGGTCTGCACGTCCGCTAGCGCCGGGACGATGAAATGAAAGATCTGATCTGTGAAAGGTGCCGCCAGGAACTCCCCTGTGAAGGCCGTGAAGACTTGTTGCCTGAAGGGGAAAAAGGGAAGCCGTTCATAAAATCAAAGAACACTGTTCATCAAGTCACTAATTAAAACAACCTCTCAAAATATCCTTCTAAATAATCTACTATTTTAATTAATCATTTAATATCAACTAGATCAACCTGAAGTGAACTTAAGTTTATGTCTTCTCCATTAAGATAACTCTATCATGCCTTTGACAGCTACTAGAAGGCAGGACAATGACCATTTATCAGAATCCCAAATTTATATTAGGTTGCAGGCCAGACAGAAAAAGGGCATTTTTCTATAAACTAAATCAACACTAGTAAGGATAAAAATTTGACTTTCAAGTCTATACTTAAAATAGCATCCTATGTAAAAGTTACTGTTAGATACAGATCTTATGAAATGACAAAATCAAAATCCATTCCATTCTCACCTTGCACCTTCTGGGCAGGAGTTGTAAGTAAAGTGCAATGGTTTTAGAACATTCTCTAGCAAAATTTTCGCTATAGGAACTCGAGATAAATCAGAATATTCAATACTTGATGGAAGCTTGCTGTTAATCAACAAATAGAGAGACCTAAAATACCCTAGAAGGAAGAATACATATTTATAATTTAGTATCTTTTCTTATAAGGAAAAAAGCTCATCAGTTTTTAAATGTTTTTTACAAATCTCTACAGGTCCAAATTTCAGGTAATTCTTTAATCTTTTATTAATATTAAGGACAACTTTAAATAGATAAGCAGCATGAATAGTGATAAACCTATGTGTCCATGACTCGTGTCTACAACAGTCGGCAACAGCCAACCCTACTTCCCCTGTACCCCACTCATAAAGAAGCAAATCTAAGAATTATTTCAGTGTATCATTAAAAGGACTTTATTTTTTAAAAATACCATTATCGCAGCTAAAATAAACAGTAATTCCTTAATATCACAAATATTCAGTCAAGTGTTCAAGTCTCCAATTATCACGTGTTATAAATTTCTGTAGCCAGTTTTCTTAAATCAGGATTTCCAATAATGCCTGTATATTGTGATCCTTGGATTTGTCTACTAAGTGTCCCCCAAGTATTCAATTAGTTTTGTGGGCTTTTTAAATATCATGTCAAGGCCTGGCACAGTGGCTCACACCTGGAATCCAAGTTGGGAGGCTGAGGCAGGAGGATCACTTGAGGCCAGGAATTCAAAACTAGCCTGGGCAACAGAGAAAGACCCTGTCTCTCCAAAAAATATTTTAAAAATTAACTGGTCGTGGTGGCACGTGCCTATAGTCCCAGCTAAGGGAGGCAGAGTCCGGAAGACTGCCTGAGCCCAGGAGTTCAGGATCACACCACTCCAGCTTGGGCGAGGGAGTGAAACTCTATCTCAAAAAAAAAAAGATAAAGAAAAAGAACAAATATATATCATGTTGAAGTCATGGAGCTAACCATACTGACCCCACACCACCCCATCTGCGGGTCTGGCCTGAGACCAGGGGGCTCCGGAGTCTGGAGGTCGCTGGGAGCACTGCTCTCTGACAGACAGGACGGCCACCCCGCTCCAGCCTCCCGTGCTGACCCAGACCTGTGCCCAGCCTCTTCTCCAGGGACACTCAAGTTCCTCTTCAAGGAAGTGATATATTTGGAGACCACAGTCTGGTCAGCAAAGAAATTAACTGATTTAAAGGCAACTCACATGTGAGCAGAAACAACTTTTATGGCCTTTATTAAATTTTCTTTTCTATGCTTTCGATAGGATTTCTGGGTGTGCAGTGAACATAAACTCAGGTTATCACCAATGATTCAAATCATATATTCTTTTAAGAAATGCTTGCTTGCTTTTTTTTTTTTTTTTGGAGACAGAATCTTCCTTTGTTGCCCAGGCTAGAGTGAGTGCCGTGGCGTCAGCCTAGCTCACAGCAACCTCAAACTCCTGGGCTCAAGCGATCCTCCTGCCTCAGCCTGAGATTACAGACACTTATCTATTTACGTAAATTTAGTTTGAAATAAGATAATTTGAGAATCTTCTCAATATTTACATTACTTGGATGTCTTCTTTGTGAGTGTTCATTAGCGATATGTTAGGGTGCTTCATCAGTTCCTTGGTTCTATTAGAAGAGCTTATGGAGTCAGCCACTCAGCTCTGGAGTGTGGCAGTTAGGAATTCAGAAGTCTTACTCGCGCTGGCTTATATCTGGTCTGGGAGGCAAGAATAAGCATAAGAAGTATGAATGTTTTTACACAAAAAGTCAATGTTAAGTATTGAGATTAGAAGAGCGAATTCATTTTTGGATTTTGATGGGGAGTGGCTCTTTTGTGATCATCTGATAGAAATGCTCCTCCTTGCAGGGACTTGAACGAGGGAGAGCGTTGGCCACTGGGCCAAGCAGCTGGTGGCTGGCTGCTGAGAAGGGCCACAGAGAATATTTGAAGTCTGGTGGATGTTTCTAAGGCTTAAGCTTAGCTGAGGAGCAGAAAGTTTTTGAGCCATGTGACCCTGAATTTTTCCCTCTCTCTTTTAAGTTCTGTTAGGCTAAAATTTCCAAACATGAAAAGTAGTAAACAATGGTATACTAAATGCCTTTTGCTTACCACATGGAGTCAAGATTTTAACATGTTGTTTTTGTTTTTTCAGAGTTTTTAACCATCTTGACCATTGCTAGTTTATCTGAATCTATTGCAAGGAACGTACAGACATTTCACTCCCCCAAATACTTCATCTCCCTTCTTCAAGAGGATGCATAACACAGTAATCCATTATCACAACACAAAGTTGTGTTAAGATTATACATATGCTAATCAAGGGCTACGCAGTTTGCTTTGACAGTCCCAAGTACAGCACCAGCACCCCTTTTGCTCGAATGGCATCTGTTTAGTCACTTTGTCTAATACCAGTTATTTTCAAATCCTCTGTTGTCTTTCACGATGCTGTTTTAAGCTATTTATTCTTTTTTTTTTTTAACAGTTCCATGTTGACCACATTACTTACCCTTTGAAGTTCCATGACTCTTTCATTAGACAGCCCTTCCCACACTCCAACTTTATGTTTTCACTCCTCTGGCTAAGCGTGTTGAAAGGGACTGCAGGAGGCGAGGGCAAGGCAGGGATCCAGCAAAGGGAAGGCGGATGATCCAGCCAGAAGCAGTTGGCCTGCACAAAGCGGAGTGGAGTCTTCTGGAGAGGTGACGCATTTGCTGACACACTGCCGTGGGATTTCAATATAGGAAGACTTAGGATGGATACCGCTTGCGTTTGAGCCACGAGGAGGATGAGTCGTTTGAGACTGGGGTGTCATAAACCACTGGATGGGGGGTGAGTGGATTTGTGTAGCGATGAGACAGTAGCGAATCTCTGTTTGCTAGGTTGGTTTCAAAACTCCTGACCTTCGAGCGATCCTCCCCCGCCTTGGCCTCTCAGAATGCTAGATTCCAGTGTAGCCACAGTGCCCAACAGAGAAATCTTTGATGCAAGAAGGATTACTAGAGACAAACCGTTGCTTCCAAGAGAGATGGGGGTTGCTCCAGGTTAGGGTACGGCCTCAATGGGGTAAGGGCAGTTTGTCCATATTAATTCAGAACTGATTACCTGGTTAAAAATTAGTAAAAAATTTAGCAGACACACCTATGAAGGGAGACATCTGAATAACAGAAAGCACCCGAAATGCTCATTGTCTATAGTGCCGGAAGCGACAATTCAGATCACATGGATCATACGACCACCCGCCTGTCAACATGACTGCGGTACCACACTTCCTTCGATGTTGAGGGTATGAGAGCAAACGGAGCTCATGTCACGGCTGCTGTAAGTTGGTGGTTTCTTTAGAACAGTTACAGTGGCTCGCACGTGACCGCCGCGTGATTCCACACTAGGAATTTACTCAAGAAAATTGACGATCCCAGTCACATACAGCACGGACTGCCTCGAACCCCATAATACTTTCTTTTGCTCAACTATAGAAAAGACTGGAAACAGCCACAACGCCTGTAGCATGTGAATGTATCCGAGCCACAAAGTGGTATTTCACGTGCAGTGGAGAAACAGTGCTCAGCAGTAACAAAAGAGCAGTTTTTGGACATAATGTGGCACTGAATTCTCAGAAGATGCGAGTGAAGGAGTCTAGCACACTTCGAGCTCCATACCATGTGAAAATTTCTTACAATTAAAAAGCAGAAAGATGGCACCGTACTTGATAATGACAGGAAAACAAGCTGGGGGGTAATAGCAACAGGTGCACAAGGCCGAGTGCTTGGAGGGAGGATGGTACGGATCAGCCAGCGGGAGCGACAGCTGTGCTGTGTCTTGCGTCCTGGTATGGTGCGTCTGGTCCAGCACGCTGCCGCCCAGGTCAGTGGGTGGGTGTGGATTAATTGTGTGCCATACACTGTCTCTAAAGTTGATTTAAGAAAAGATGTGTCTGTTTTTAAATAAGAACTTTAATTTGTGAAAGCTAGGCCTCCTCTGCCTTAAACCTTCTCATAGGCAGAAGGGGAGGCTTAAAGTTCAAATACAGTGACTTAAATGGACATGAATCTACACTCGTCTGTTCTGGTGTGGAGGATACTGCAGGCATGGAAAGGCTGCACTCATCTTTGAAGGATCTGTTCACTTTCTACAGAAGTGTCTCCCTCAGTTCAATTACATGTAGTTTCTCTCTGGTGCGAATGAACGTAGATTGTAATACTTCACCCACGCTGTCTGTAATCTGAGCTTTGATGTCCGTCGCACTCACGTGCTGTAACCTAAGTTCCAGCGTGCTGTTTGGTGCCAGTCCAAGGCACTCCGTTACAAACTGGTTACAGAATTGTATTGATACCCTCTCTTTGGAGATACGCATGTTTTCAGCAGACGGCTCTAGTACTAATCAGAAGTGGCTCAGGTACTTACATTGGCTAGCTGAGTTTATTGGGAACTTGTGTCGATCCGCCATTGCGTCATTGAAGGGAATGCTATTTTTCACTCTTTACCAGGTATCGCTGCCAACTGTTAATGACACGTCTGAATTGTCACTTCAATGAGAACTGCTATGAAGTTTTCGTCTGAGAGACTTATATGCCGTTTTACCAGATCCAAGCTATGCTGGTCGTCAGTATTGAAAAATTTGCACTACATGATTCAAAATGGTGAGTAGTTCGTAGGTGGGTAAGACTGGGCATCCAGTATTACTTTTGTGAGGTAGTACAAGCCACACGTACACGCCAGCCACTTTTTGGAACTTACCCAACATCAAATTGTCAACAAAGCGTTGTGATACAGTGAAGGGTGCCGTGCAAGAGTCATGGATTCCAGCATCTACCATTGGCGCTACGCATTCTGAAAATTTGGAATATGTATATATTCCTTCTGCTTGGAATGAAGAAAAGCAATGATCTTTTAGAAATTGTCTTTGACGTATAAGTTTAATCACAGATTATTGCATCTGTAAGTGAAGCATCAGTCCTTGCCATAACTGAATGGGGAGGGATCTTAATAATTGTTATCCCCCTGAGTGCATAGAAGATGAACACAGATGCAGATTAACGTCACTTGGAGAGCCCTGCTCTTTTAAAAACAATCTTACTATTCACCCCGTGCTGGCGGTCGCCACACCTATGAACCGCACTCTTTGGA